CTGAAGATATCTCAATTAACCGGGGCCTTTTCCAGGGGGACTCCTTGAGTCCTCTTTGGTTCTGTTTAGCGATGAACCCACTATCTCAGCTACTGAACTCCACCGACTCAGGTTTTAGTATCAAAAATAACAACACTGTTGTGGCGAAGCTTAATCATCTGTTGTATATGGATGATTTGAAATTAATGGCTTCCACTCGAAACCACCTAGACCAGATGCTAAAAACTGTTGAAAATTTCTCAAATGATATTAGTATGCACTTCGGTCTTGACAAGTGCCGTGTCTTAAATATAATCAAAGGAAAGGTTCAGCCCGGCGGATTCGATATGCAAAACGGCCAGAACATCGAGGCCATGGGTGAAAATGATATGTATAAATACCTCGGAATAAAGCAAGCGCGGAAGATTGACCATAAGCAAATGAAAACTGAGATAACAACTGAGTTTATACGAAGGGTAAAACAGCTGCTTCGTTCACACCTTAACAGTAAAAATTTGTTTAAGGCACTAAACACCTACGCATGTTCCGCGCTTAGCTACTCATTTGGTATTGTTAAGTGGACAAAAACGGATATAGAAAATCTTCAGCGAAAAGTACGAACGCACCTCACAAAGGCACAAAAACACCATCCTCGAAGTGCAGTAGAAAGAACAACATTACCGCGGTATTTAGGAGGTCGAGGACTTATGGATATAAGCGAGCAATTAGAAAAACAGATTACTAATTTAAGAACTTATTTTCAGGTGCAGGCGGAGACATCTACTCTTCATCGCGCGATTTGTGCAGTAGATGACACAACACCGATTAAACTGAGGGAACCAGAAATGCGCATAAACCACCTTACTAAGAACGAAAAAATGCGCACCTGGATGGGCAAGCCTCTGCACGGGCGACATCCCAATGAGGTCAGTCAAGACCATGTCGACAGTATAGCGTCGAACTATTGGCTGACATCAGGAAGGATGTTCCCCGAAACAGAAGGTTCATTACTCGCCATTCAGGATCAGGTTATACCAACCAAAAATTACCTGAAATATATCGTCAAAGACCCTCAGGTCCAAAATGACAAATGCCGATATGGGTGCCAAGCCCAGGAAACCATTCAACATCTTACCGGGGGCTGTCAGGCATTTGCTGCAACTGAATATAAGGAACGGCACGACTCAGTAGGAAAAATCCTTCATCAAGAGATAGCTATCAAACTGGGACTTCTTCCAACAAACCATCTTCCATATTATCAATATGTTCCTGAGAGTATACTTGAGAATGACAACTACAAGCTATACTGGGATCGCACGGTGCTCACAGACCAAACAGTGGCACATAATAGACCAGATCTCATACTAATCAATAAACTAAAGAGACAAACAACATTAATTGATGTGGCGATACCCAACAACAATAATCTTCGTGTTAAACAGAACGAAAAAATCGCCAAGTACAGGGATTTGGAAATTCAAATACGAAGACAGTGGAAAATGGAAAGTACCCAGACAATACCTATTATTCTCTCTACTACTGGAGTCATTCCAAAGAACCTCCTAGAAAATATAAAAAAGCTAGGTCTGAATGAACATCTCTACAAGACCATGCAAAAAGCTGTACTACTCTCAACATCTCGATGTGTACGAAAATTTTTGGGAGATACTCCAGCATACCAAGTCACCTAGGGCTCGATAACACGGAAAGAGTCCCACCAGAGCTCAATCCTTCTGATACCGTAGGTATCTGGGATGAGTGAATTTTCCCCTTAGAGGGAGTGTGAGCCGTATGGCTAAATCTGGATAATAATAATAATAATAATAATAATAATAACGTTTATTTCCATGAAATTTACAATTAATAATATTACAATAAAATAATTAAATGACAATAAATTTTAAAAAATATTACTTTTACTTTGTAGTTCTGTAATTGGTTCAAGGTAAATAAACAGTAGTGCCCATTAAAACAATTAAGTTGAGCATGGGCCATTTTTTTAAATTGCTTATTTATATTGATCCTACAGCAAGGCGAGCTTTACTACTTTATTAGTTATAATTATTACCTATATTATGATAAAACAAAAAAAATAACAAAAATATTTTTATTAATTAATTAACAAGAGAGAGACAATTCATGCATACAATCAACCATGATAATAGCATATATAAATTTTTAATATTTCTATTCTAAATCTATATTTCTAAAATTTTAAGATTTAATCTATTCTTGATTTGACGTTAGTTATAACCTAATTGGTCTCAAAAAGGTGGCTGAACAGTTGTCTATGATTTTGTTTCAAATACCTAGTAAACAATGTCTTAATAATTTTTTGCGAGTTTATAGTGATTAGGTATGTTTTGTAAATTTCAGGGAGCAAATTGTAGATTCTTCCTTGTAAATACTCAAAATTTCGTTTACCAACTGTTTTCTTTGCAATATTTAATTTGACAAAAGACTGTGCTCTATTTCTCGTATGATAGGTATGCTCTAATGGTGTGAGTAAGTGTTTATTTTTGTATAAATTCGTGATTATTGTAAGAATATATAATTGTCTCGTATCTAACATTTGAGTTTCGGTATAAAGATCATTAGTAGGGTATCTTGAAGGTCTATTGTAAATATTTTTAATATTTTTCTCTGGATAATGTCTAGTTGGTGGAGGTATGTATTTGCAACTCCACCCCATCTAAGGATTCCATAACGTAGACGCGATTCTACCAAAGAATAGTAAATAACCTTCAGATGATGGATATCCAGTATATTACGTAAATATCGCATTTTGTACAATAGACATCTCAATGTTTTACACGTTTGGTTTATGTGTATATCCCATCGTAGATACGAGTCGATTTGAACACCAAGGTATTTTGTGTTACTCACTGCATTAATACTCAGATTTTTTATTTTTATAAATTTGTAATCTGGTAGACCTCTCTTATAGCTTGTAAATGGAACATAGACTGTCTTATCCATATTTACTGTAAGAAGTTTGTGGTTAAATGGTTCAAGACCTTTTGGGTCGGTGAGATTTATTAAGGTTTTCGTGACAACTTTTCAGTAATGTTTCTTTATTTTCCAGTCTCATAGTTTCTGTATACTTTTTTGTACATCTGATTATCTTTGTTTTTATATTGGCGTCTTACTTCCATTAAATCTAAAATTTCTTCCATCATCCATCGCTTCTTTTTATATCTGGTTGGTATTAGAATTTCTTTTTGACTTTTATCTATTTTTGTGTTTATTAATAACCATTTTTTATCCGTCTTACTATTTTGCAGAATTTGTTGTTTTACATTTCTATAATACTTACCAAAAAGGTTAGCAGCTTCTGAATCCATCTCCCACTCATCATTATATAAATGAAGGACAGGGGGTACAAAAGAAGAGTTACGCCTGAAATTAACAGAAATACCCTAATCAGAAAAGCTCTCAATGTTCTCGAAGGGGAAACTTCTTCTTCTTATGCTATCCTATCCAATTAGTGAATGTTGGCGACAATTCTGGCATACTCATCTCGATCTTGTGTGGCTCTAAAGAGTCCATGGACATCGAGGTTTGTTTAGTCTCTTATGTTTTTAAGCCATGAGCATTTCTTTCTTCCGATGCCCCGTTTTCCTTCTATCTTCCCTTCTATAATACGCTTTAAGACTTGGTACTTGTAATTTTGAAATATATGACCCAGATAAGCAGTTTTTCTTCTTTTTATTATTGGTTGCAATTCTCGTTCTCTGCCCATTCGATTTAATACTTCGACATTTTATTGTATGATCTGTCCCAGGAATTTTAAGTAGTCTTCTAAATACCCACATTTCAAAGGCCTCCAATAGGTTCATCACATTGGCCTTTATGGTCCAGGTTTCTACACCATATAGCAGTATGGAGTACATGTGACATTTTACAAAGCGATATCGAAGTGTTAAGTTAAGGCTGCTGTTGGCTTAGCGAGATTCTTATATTAGTAAATGCTGTTCTGTCTTGCTCAATCCTGCTACGTATCTCTATGTCTGGAATTGGATCTTCAGTTATCCAACTACCGAGATATCTGAACTTGGGGACCTTTTGGATGTTCTTATTATTTACTCTTATAATTAATTGCATATTTCGTGTTCTACTAACCATAAGGGGAAACTTAACCTAGTGCATAAAGTCGGAATTGACCAAACCTTCTTGGTCCATTATATATGTATTATCAATAAAAGCGTATAATTTAACAATGAAGTCCCTTCATATTCCTAACTTAATTAATTTCCTATTTGCCTTATACATTGTGTGTGTTTTTTAACAATCTAACGAAACTTTTTTATTTTGTTCTAACAACTTTAAAAACATTTTCGTATTTTAGTCAAGCCCACCTATTCTGAATTACTTTCAAACATTTTTTTCTGATATAAAAAGATCTCTATTCAGCTCTGATCTCCCAGAGGCACTGTATTGAGTAAAAATATATAAACGCTTAAAAATCTATTAAAATATCTACAAAATTAATCTTTTATAGTCGTTTTAGTCGAATAATAAATTAAATTATTAATCTATGTAAAGTTTTGACTAAATTGTAAAGAAATATTATAGTTTTTAAATGTAAATCTTAATATTGATATATTTATTAATAAAGATGTTTTGGGCTAGATGGGAGCCTGGATGCAGCGGGAGAGAACTCTGGTTTCGGTGTTAGTCGTGCGCAGTCGTCTGGGCTGCCATATTTACAGCGAGCCGCCTCGGTGGATCAAAGCAGCCGGTGATTGGTCGGTGCCGACAGAGACATTCGGAACGCGCTTGCCTGGGCCGCACACCGCACATCGTCAGTTCGTGCTCAGTTAGCGCAGAGTAGAAATACGCGAACACGTGCTAGTGCCTAGTGACGAGATCGCCCGCCGTCTTGTTTTGTTGTTGGTGCTCGGGTGACAGTTGTAGTAGTATGCCGACGACTATGACCGCTATGAAAACGCGCGAATGCAGATAGTGGTGCTATGTAGTGTGGCTGTGATATGCCGCTGTACAGTGAGTTCGAGTGAACCATGCCACACGTCTCATCCAGTGGCGGCGATGATCTCGGCAGCACCGATGAGGTTAAGGTGTTCAAGGACGAGGGTGATGGGGAGGACGAGAAGAGGTCCTCAGAAAACCTCACCGAGGAGAAGAGTAGCCTTATCGACCTCACAGAGTCTGAGGTAATTCACTTCTATCACAACTACACTTGCCGTCGATACTACCATCCAAATCACTCCACAGATTCATTCCCAATTCCTCCTCTGTTCACACAATATTATAAGTCACAAACAATCTGTAAAACACAAGAAAGTACCAATTATATACTCCACATTGCTTGCACCTGTAACATTCGTTTACTGACATATTTCATTACTATTAAAATTTCTGCACAAACAAACATTACTGTGCATAAAATTTCATTTAATTTGTATTATTATTCGCCACATAAGGTTAAAGTTGGAATTCAAACTTGAAAAATATATTTCCTGTGGAAGGTGGCTTACATGATATCAGGAGCAGATGAAAAAGTCATCATAAAATCTACTGTAATCCCCTAAATTTTTGAAAAATGTTTAGGGATGCAAAAATAGTAGATACAAGTATTTTGTAACCCGAACGGCCAAGGTTTATCATGTGCATAAAGCTATTTTACATTCCATTGAAAATTTCAACTCTTTCAGTATGCCACACGTTTTATTATGTTTTCAATGTAAAAGTTACATTCATCCATATATTTTTGTATTTTTTGTCAGCAATTGCACTCTTTCAGTGTTCAATAAATTTTGTATTTTTCATATAACACAAATGTCGTATAACATATTTCTTTTCCAGAGTTGAGTATCTCTGAATTTGGTGTTTTGGATGATTTTTCAGAAACTGTGGTTTAAAAATCCTCACTATACTGATCTTATTTGTATATAACTTGCTTTCTTAGAATATCATGGATCTAGCCTATCTTATTAGATGTAGGTTTTTTCCCGCCGGTAAATATTTTCTAAAATTGTTCCTAAACACTATTTGTGGTACATTTTATCTTCTTTATTATTATCTTTGTATGAGTTTTGGGCATATCGTTTCATTCCCAACCAAGATTTTTCGCAACTCTTGGTAGGTAGCGTCTTTACCAATAGGATCCGTAAACGTGTTCCTTTGATTCTTTAGAAAATTTGATTCAAAAATCCTAACTACAACGATTTCTTTTTTTCCCGCCGGTGGATCATTTGTCCATAAAAAATTATGATATTTTTCATCTGTCTATTCAAGCTACAGTTTCAAAATTTCTGAGCTAGTTGAGCAATATCTTTCCGGATAATTTTGGGAATTTTTATTCCACATTGATGTGATAGTTTTTTCTTCATCCGGGAAATCAATAAATTATCTAGTTCATTTCTTATCTATATCTAGTTTATTATGTTCAATACAATTGTTCTGTTAGTTACATCAATAATATGCTCAAAATTGGATATTTCACATAAAAAAGCTTTCATCTGCTTTTAGATTCTTCCAGAACAGACTTGCGGTAATTCCCAGATCGATGGATTGGTTTAATAATTGGCAAGAAAACATTTTAAAAAATACTAGATTTAAGTATTCTTATTATTATAGTGTGATATTGATTCTACAAATTCAATTTATCTAAAATAATAAATTACGAGAACATAAATCGATTGGAAATGAGTTGATGGACCACACAGAAGGTTCTGTCCATAAATATGAACAAAAATAATAAGTAAATGTTAACCAAATAATCCACTTTTTTTAATAAACTCACTTCTTAATTATCTAAATGCAAGAAAACAGCATTCTAATTCGTCTGGTGGCACAGAAATCAGTCCAAAAATATTGATGCTATCTCACTATTTGTATGCATATAATCTTGAGATAGAAGACTCTTGAATTTTCATTACCATGTCTCCTACAAATGGAACAAGGTAATTGAGAGAAATTTGCCAATTTTAGGTATCGCTATCTCAAGTCCACGAATTTGTTTGCCGATAATTTAAAAAATTAATATTACTATTAACTACAATGATTCGTAATCATTATCATTCTTGTCTTATTTCAACAGAAATATAGTTTCAAAACAGTCGTTAACTTGATTATCGTGATATGAAGTCATTAACTGATTTTTCCAATGTTCCTCCACGTCTTTCTATATGCTGTCATTCTAGCACATTTTGACAATGGAGCGCTAATTGTAGCGACTGTGTAGTCCGTGTATCACTTGGGAAATCTACCACAACTTCTTTTTTTACGTTTCCCTGAATGGTAAGTTTTGCAAGAGCATTTATTCGAATCACGTTCCCAAAATAGCGTATTATTTGTTCTGATACTTGTGTTCTCAGTATTTTCTTTAGCTGGTTCAGCATAGATTCATTCGTTCTTCGAGCTATCTCTGGTATTCTGAGCATTCGTCTCCAGCAGTACATTCGCATACTTCTGTAATCTTGTTATCTTTTTCCATAATGGTCCAGTATTCCAATGCATAAGTGAAAATTGGAAAATTAGACTTCTTACTAGTCTCATTTTTGTATCGGTCGGTTGATCATGGCCTTTCCAAATTTTTGTTCATTTTGTCATTGCGCTTTTTGTGACTGAGCGCCGCTTTATTTCGTCAGTACAGCCTCCCTTGCTAGTTATTAAAGAGCCTACATACACAAATTTATCTACAATAGCGATTTGGTTGTATCATGATTCTTGTTTTTTCTCTCTTTGTTTTAAGACCCATCCTTAAGCTTCTTCTATCCGTTGTAGCAGAGGCATCAGTTCAACCTGTGCATACTTCAATTTCTAAATCTTTTCCCGTCGATAGTGATGCCACCGCTCCAGACCTCAATACTTTTCCGCATTATCCATTCACCATATATGTTAAATAGAATTGGGCTTAGTACGCAGCCTTTGCCTCAAGTCCTTAGTGACCCGGAAACTTTCGGTTAGTTCCCCATTTATTCTAAGTAATTTTGGCATAATTTTTATTGTATAGGCTTTAATTTGCAGTATCAAATGATTCGCGACTCCTATTGGCCATTTCAGACAATATCTGATAAAATTTGTTTACTAGTACCACGTCCGGGGACGAAACCTGCTTGTTCTTCCGCAATTTCAGGAAGTACGAAGGGATTTATTCTCTCTAGAATTATCTGTAAAAGTATCTTACTGCAGTGAGCAATTAGACCATTTGTGCAATAGTTGCTATATACATGTTTTGCTCCCTTTTTATGTATCGAGATATATAGTGATTTTTTCCAATTTGTAGGACATTTTTCTGTCTCCCACACTCTTTGACAAATTTTATCTATTATAACCACTCCTAACGTCATATAGGACCCACATTATTTCAATATTCATGTTATCTGGGCCAACGGCTTTATGACTTTTTTCATAATTGCTGCAAATTCACTCTTTGAGTCAAGTTCCGTCGCAAAACTGTCATCTTCTTGTTGTGATAGACGTCTGTGATCTTTTTCATCATCAATCGTGCAAAATATTCTTTCCACATGTGTAAAATATCTTTTTAGTAGTGATAGAGTTCCATTGTCATCTTTGATAGCAAAGTGGTTTTGTGCAAAGGAAGGTGTTATCTTCACTGAATTTTTTTCAACATGTCTCTGGTCTTAGTTTTGCAGATTTTGTTCAAATGTGTGTTACACATCAATAATTGGGTAGAACAGAATGTCCTGCGGCGTATATACTTTTCCGTAGATTATTTAAATTGTTTCGAAATTTCTTTATTGTGATCTACCTTTTATGAATGGTTTTTGAAAGATTTTCACAAAAATATCCTGCTGCGATTTTATAACACTGTTGACTATGTACTAACTGCCATATTTTCTTATCTCTGACACTACTTGTCTCCAATTTTTTACGCTGTGATTCTTTAGATCCTGTTCTACTTGAACTTGCCATTTAATTCTTATTCTCCTCCTTCCTGTATGACTTACATGCCTCATTTTAAACTCTTTTTATCATCTTATCTTCTGCGCTTTTTAAAATACGGCCAATTTATTTGAATGTTTTTGCTCTTATAAAAAACTGCCTGCCATATTTTGTTATCTCTGGTACTATTTCTCCAGATTTTTACTATGTGATTTTTTAGATCCTGTTCTACTTAAACTTGCCATTAAATTATTGGCCTCTCCCTTTATCTATGACTTAAATGCCTCATTTTAAACTATTTTTATCATCTTATCATCTGCTCTTCTTCAAATACGACCCAATTATTTTAATGTTTGCCCTGTTATATTAAATAATATGTTTTTCCTTTCCAAACACCATCCATCTTTTTTCCCGCCATTAATTCTACTTTAAGATTTGCAGCCCTATATATTTATCCCTTTTGGAGTATTTTCGTTAAAGTCTATTAAAATTGAATAAAATAGCAGTATTATTTAGTCCTCATCAGTTTCTTGCATAGTAAGTATATGTACATATTCCATCTATTTTTTCTTCTTATAATGCCGTGCACCTAAAGTGCGTTGGCGAATTATCTTAAGACCAGACGTCTGTCCTTTGGGCATGCAAAAAATCGCCAGTGTTATTTATGCCTGTCCAGCTCTTTATGTTCCGTAGCCACGACGTTTATTTGCGACCTACTCCTCTCTTACCTTCAATCTTTCCCTGGATGATTAGTTGAGGGATTGCGTATTTTTTTCCTCCCAGAATATGGCCGAGGTATCCAATTTTTCGTTCCTTGATCTAATTGAGTAGTTCTCTCTCAGTATTTGCATTTCTTAAGACTTCCTCGTTTCTCACCCTATCTGTCCATGGTATGCGGAACATTCTTCGCAACGTCCACATTTCGAAGGCCTCCAACTTATTAATGGAGTTATCATTAATAAGTTGGAGGCCTTCGAAATGGAGAGTTAATGGACATTAAGAGTTAATGTCCATCGAAACATGGACATTAACTCTTAATGTCCATGTTTCGATGCCGTTTAACAATATATGGATCATACATTAGCATTTAACCATCCTGTAGCGGAGATTGAAGGAAAGATTGCGTTTACATAGTAGCGGTTTAAATTTGATAAAAGCTTGTCTTGCTTGTTCGGTACGGCTTTTATTTCTTGTTGAGGATCCCATTGGTCATTCATCATCATTTCCAAGTATTTAAACGTTTTAACTTGATTGATTGGAGCATTATCTACTTGCAGTTGTATTCTTAAAAGTGCGTTTTTTC